TGAAAAATATCAATAGTCAAAAATATTATTCTTATAATACATTAGATTCTTGAGTTTGATACGTACTTGAGCATTTTATGGCACACTGGCAAGCGTCGATAAATAAATCAACATAAAATTTTTATGAAACTTTTAAGAACTTAAGATTTTAATGCCTACAAGACCGTATTTATATTTAATATGCATTAGCTTTTAGCGTAGATATTTGCGATTTTCACGGAATATGTACGTGCACTTTATGGATTATATGTCTATTGTACGTGCACTTTATGGATTATATGTCTATTTGTTTTTTTTTTTTTTTTTTTTTTTTTTTTTTTTTATTATTTATTTATGTATGTCTCAACAAGTTGGTTAATTAATTTTATGAAACACAATTCTTTACGTTAATTAGTTTCGACTATTTGATATTTTTTTTTTTTTTTTTTTTTTTTTTTTTTTTTTTTTGTTGTACTCGTCCAATTTATCCCTAAAAACAATGATGCATTTATATACGAAATAAGGGCGTTTTTAAAATAGACGTTTGCTGGATACGATTAATGTATTTGAGTTGGATGCTTATATGCAAATATATCGATATCAAACAAATCACGCTCCCGATAATATCGTAAAACAAGATCTCACAAGCGTTCGCAATATGCGATCGAAATATATCAATATATTGCAAATTTACTTTTGTAAACACTTTTATGCAGTAATGCCCAATCTCCATCCCCATAAAACAGTTTGCGTATTTAGTATTTAGTTCAATGTGACAAAAAAAAAAAAAAAAAAAAAAAAAAAAAAAAAAAAAAAAAAAAAAAAAAAAAAAAAAAAAAAAAAAAAAAAAAAAAAAAAAAAAAAAAAAAAAAAAATTTGCCGTACAACACCATTTAGCACAATTGAAGCTTTGAGCATTAAAATTTACAATACATTTCAATTTCCGTTATTTCATTGTGCATATATATATATATATATATATATATATATATATTGACATAAATGCAATATAATAATCCGATGGATAAATGAACCAAAGAAAGAAAAAAATAATAAATAAATAAATGAATATTTGAAATGAACAAGGTGTTAAGATTGCTTCTTGTATAGAGATCATCGTATATATAAAAGAATTTTAATAGATATAAGGGCCTGTTAAATAAAATTGTAATTAGGGAGGAAAAAAATTAGAACGAGAAATCAACATGGGTAACAAAAATTACGATAACTAAGGTAACATTTGACTCGATTCGGATATCATATTAATATTTATTTAAGCGATTGAGCATATTTTGTGCCGAATGGAATTCGAATGGAATGAGGTGTGCGCGTTCGTGTGGTAGTGGTAGTGGTAGTGGTAGTGGTAGTGACTAGAGGTATTTTGAGCGGGAGAGGAAAGCTCGTCGTAAAATCAGCCGAAAATCGAGGAGATGGAAGACACGAATTATTTTACATAGCGGGAGCGGTGATCCGATTGGAGGCGAGTGAGACCACACGAGTGGTTTCGGTATGCGGCCACTGATAGGCGAAATTCTCTCGGCAAGATGCGCGCGATTCTCATCAAAGGACGAAAAAACGTGCCTCCCACCCCCTCCCCGCCATCACGCAAACCCCACCACACCGCCACCCCGCCACCCTACCCCGATGGAAAGCCCGAGGAGCAGCACCGATCCATGATCCGCCCGATGGCGGCGACTCCTGCCTTAAAGCAACATCGATAAAATAACGCTAAATGTACGCGCGATGTTTGAATTAGCATCAAATGACTAGAGTTAAATGAATTATGTGGCGGGAGGGAAGAAGATAAAAGCGTGCCGCACCGTTCCTATAAGAGCCCACTGACTTTTGCTCGCCAACCGGAGTTGGAAAATGCCCAGATTACAGCCACCTTATTGATTTTCCTGGGCGTTGAGGCGCGTTGTAACAGGGAGGCTTCGACCACCACGACGCACCACACAGCCACGAAAAGAAATTGGCTAGGGAAGAAAGTCACCTGGCCGTGATACCCGATACCGCAAACCATGGCAATAATATTAAAGTATTATTACGCTTGGCGATTAAGTGGAGTGGGGAAGTGGTTGGAATCGATACGCCGATCGAAAGTTCGCCGGGGCGCAATTGCCGATTGCCCGCTCTAACACTAAAATTTCCCTGTACCTTAGTGCGTAATGCTGCAAGTGAATTAATTATATAGTGAATGAATTATATATTATACACCGAAAGACGGTGAGGGAATATAATGGCAAATTATAATAATAGGGGAAGTATAATGATTGAGGCGTAGATCGTTAATACACATTGAGAAATCGCAAGCAAACGGATGTCGCATGTCCCACGGCTAGGTGTAAAGTCACAATAATATCACAATTATCAGCGCACGCATAATCGAGATAGAGAGATAGATAGATAGAGATAGAAAGAGAGTGATATATATATATATATATAGAGAGAGAGAGAGAGAGAGAGAGAGAGAGAGAAAGAGCGAAAGATATGTACGTTCGTTACCAAGTCGTAACGGCCGTCACACCCGCGTCTTTCTCTCTCTTGACAAAAACAAAAAAAAAAAAAAAAAACAAGAAAAAAACAAAGAAGAGCGGCCCGTACCGTTATCTCGCCTCGCACTCGTTCTTTTCGTTGTAAACATTTTTTCTTCTCCTTTCCTTCTTTCTTTCTTTTTTTTTTTCCTACTCTTATACACGTTGAGGCTCTTCATCTCGCGGAGGCGAGGAAGCGCGCGATCCTCGGGCGAGTTCGCTAACGGATTCTCGGGGTGTACTGTTAGCGGGCGAGAGAGAGAGAGAGAGAGAGAGAGAGAGAGAGAGAGAGAGAGAGAGAGACGAGCTGATGATGCCCAGAGCGGCGAGAAAGTGCACGACGCTACCGAGGAGGTGAAGACTCGGGTTGGGGGCACCTCGCGCCAGAATCATGAATGACAATTGAATTTGTCAACCCGTGGTGGGTGTTGCAGTCAATTGGGTTAAAATATCGTCGTCGAGCCTGTCGGTGTCGATGCAAATAAGCAAATTGACGGGCTGCATAAGTGCTTCTGACAAAACGATGAATCTTACAAATATTTATTATAAATAATGAATTGTCATCTGACGCGTTAGAAAGATGCGATTTATTTGTGAAAAATGTTTGTCGAATGGTTTATAATTACGGCAAGTTGGAAAATTGTGCGCAGTGCAAAAATCGAATGGGAAAATGAAGTTGCGGGATAACCTTGCTTGATTGTAAAATGACTACGAGATGTTGAGAAATGAGGCGGACATTCGTTGTTTAGTTGTGCTATTGTACGAAGTTGTGACGATCGAAGTTAAAACAATAAAAGGAATAAAATATATTTGCACGTTTCAACTGTTATGTTGTTGCTTCTATTACGACTAATGCAATTGTTATTGTCATTTATTATTAATGTGTTATGACTTTATCATCTTCATAATAATTAGAACGATCATGATGATTGTTATTTCGATTTCAATTATAATAACCAAAATACTAAATGTAATGATTGAAACGAGGGGATAAAAGTCTCTGAATATATGATGAAAAACCCTTATTATAACTTGTATAACGGTCACATGAAATTATGTGGCCTGATGCTTTATTTAAGGGGGGGGGGGGAGAGAGAGAGAGAGAGAGAGAGAGAACAGTGAAACAAACCAAAAAAAAAAAAAATCGATAGATATTATACAGGATCGATGAAATGATATTAAGAGATCTAAATTATTTCGCACAGCCGAGTGATCGTCGCGCTCGTTTTAGCTGAAAAATTTTCGTTCACCAAAGCCGGTTAAAACGCATAAAGTTAAACGCGTGAACGTATGCATATATAATGGGAGGCGATGCAAGAGTTGCGGGCGCCAAGATTTATGGAGAGAGAAGACTATAGCCTCTGAGAAATATGCTTTATCCTGACGTTTTATGGCTCGCGAGACACAATAAATGATCGGACGTGATAAATAGTGTCGATGACAAGCGCATTAGCATTTAAGTCCGTTTGATTTCAGTCACAAGTTACAGATTTTATAAGACATTGGACAAGTGCAAGTGTATTATAGTCGGCGTATCACCTGTTTGATTTCACGATCACCCATTAATTTCATAAGCTTTCCATTAATCACCCAAATAATTCATTGTGAAATGCGACCTCCTCGATGCGAGAGTGTTACGACAAAAGGCATAAAGGTGAAAGGAAAATGTTGATAACGAGCGAGCGAGCGTCTTTTCCTTTACTCTCCAAAGGCGAAACGGTAAAAAATGTTTACAGTTTGGCCAATAAGGTGGGAGGAGTGATCGTTTCGACGATTGGTTGGTTGATTGGTTGGTTGGTTGGTTGGTTGGTTGGTTGGTTGGTTGGTTGGTTGGTTGGTTGGTTGGTTGGTTGGTTGGTTGGTTGGTTGGTTGGTTGGTTGGTTGGTTGGTTGGTTGGTTGGTTGGTTGGTTGGTTGGTTGGTTGGTTGGTTGGTTGGTTGGTTGGTTGGTTGGTTGGTTGGTTGGTTGGTTGGTTGGTTGGTTGGTTGGTTGGTTGGTTGGTTGGTTGGTTGGTTGGTTGGTTGGTTGGTTGGTTGGTTGGTTGGTTGGTTGGTTGGTTGGTTGGTTGGTTGGTTGGTTGGTTGGTTGGTTGGTTGGTTGGTTGGTTGGTTGGTTGGTTGGTTGGTTGGTTGGTTGGTTGGTTGGTTGGTTGGTTGGTTGGTTGGTTGGTTGGTTGGTTGGTTGGTTGGTTGGTTGGTTGGTTGGTTGGTTGGTTGGTTGGTTGGTTGGTTGGTTGGTTGGTTGGTTGGTTGGTTGGTTGGTTGGTTGGTTGGTTGGTTGGTTGGTTGGTTGGTTGGTTGTATGATTGATCGATCGGTCGGTTGATAGGGACAAAGGCGGTTGCGCAAGTGGTCGATCGGGGTAGGGGGTAAGTCGTTGAAGTAGCATTGTCGTGGCAAGAGGTTTGGTCGGGTATCGTGGATCCGGGGTAGAGTGGGCATCCGGATAAGCCGATATGGGGGTGGTGGATGGTAGAGGCAGCTCACCTGAAGTACGGCGATCCAAAGGGCGAGCAGTAGAAGGGATCGTTGTGCATGTGAGGTTGTCCGGGTACTCCGGCTGGTCCCTGGGGGTGGGGCGGTCCGTGTGGGCCCATGGGCCCGGCGGGTCCCGTCGGACCGCACATTCCCGGTCCCGGCTGGGGCTGCATAGCGCCGGGTCCCATCATCGGGCCCGGGCCCATGTGGGGTCCCGGATGGTGGGGCGAGCCGACCATGTGGGGACCCGGGTGATGGGGGTGAGGCGACGGCCCGCCGCCAGCCATGTGGGGATGGGCCGCGTGGGGCGAGCCGCTCATCATGCCGTGGGGCATCGAGTGGGGACTGGGCGAGGCCCCGTTAAGGTGCGGGCCCGGCACCCCCGGCTGGTGGGGCGTCGGCGGTCCGCCGCCGTGTGTCGGCGTCGTGGCTGGCTGCGGGGGCGGTAGGCTCGGCGGGCCCTGGGGCCCCGGGCCCAGGGGCGGCAGGGGCCCGTTGGCCATGTTGTTGAGCTGGGTGAGCGAGGCAGCGGCCGAGGCCATAGCTTGCAGGGGATTCGGCACGCCGACCGCTCCCCCGACCGCCCCGGTGACTCCGCCGGGCGCGGGGCCGCCCGCGCCTCCCCCTCCCGGGGCTCCCGGGCCGAGGCCAAGCGAGGCAGGCAACGGTGGCGAACCCGCGGGCGCTGAACCCCCGAGGCTGCAACGGGCGCCGGCGGCGGCGGAGACGGAGCCTGGACCGCCGCTGACGACGCCGCTCGGCGCTACCACCGGCACACCGCCGTGGAGAAGTCCACCTGGGGGGCGCTGCGCCAACCTCACCGGCATTACTCCCCCCTCCACGACGCCACCCGTCTCGCCGAACACGAGGCTCGAGCCGAACACGCTACCGCTCTGGCTCGCGCCGCCGCCGCACGAGAGGGCCGAGAGAATGACGCTGGCCGGGGTGGCGCGAGGCCCCTCCACGAGGCTGCGGCGGCTCTTTCTGCCCTTGCTCCTTGTGCCGCTGCCGCTGCCGCTACAGCCGCTACTGCCGATCCGGGCCCAAGGGCTCTCCGTTATTTCGCTCTTGTCGTACACCTCGTCGTCGTTCCTCCAAACAGCACTCAATAACCAACAATCATCGCACTCGCCGACTATTGTTAACGACCATGTACCTCGCACTCAACGTATAAACAATGAGAAATGAAAGGAGAAGAGAAAAACAACAAAAATTAAAAAAAAAAAAATATTAAAAAAAAAAAAGCACTCGGGCGCAGCCTAGCGTACAGCTCCTTACAAACCGACGTCACACTTTTTTCTTTTATCTAGTTAGCTCGTTTCCTAGTTTTAACGACCACAACGACACTGGGCCCCCTACGCCTTATAGCGCCAATACAAGGTATATATTTTATATTGCACTCCTTGTTTATCACTCGGGGATTAATTAAAATGACGTTATCGTCGATCACGACTCGCACAACAGATCATATTCACATGACGCGCGTACGGGGGGATAACAGCCGAGCGTGTATGCGACCGCACGGATAGGGCTCACGTCAGCGGCTCGCCCCGGGGATGGGAAGCACGTGGCCGTCTCGTCCTCGTTGCTGCCGTGTATCGCGCGGCACGCGAGCCATGGTCCTGGGGAGGGGAGTCGCTCGATCGTTCCTCGAGACCGTTCCTCGTCGCTAGCTACGCTCGAGGGCCTCAGATCATGGCCCTCCGCAGTTTGAGAGATCGAGATTGGTGCGCCGTACCGGGCCGGTATCGCGTCGTCGCGGCTTCATTCCTCGGCGGAGATCCCGCTGCTGCTGACGCACGTGATCCGACTGTCCGTGATGGGCGCGAAGATCAGGCCGCTCTTCTGCCCATATCTCCCCGTTCGTACGAACGAGCTGAACGCCGGCAGAGCGAGAGCCGTCGATGACGAGGACTTGGCGGTGGTGTAGGAGAGGGAGGAGGAAGAGGAGAGAGACAGAGAGAAAGAGAGAAGAGCAGTGGCACTAGCGCGAGCGCACCCTTCGAAAGCGGTTGCATTACTACCGCGGAGCGTAGCGGTGCTCCACCGCGGCGGCGCTCGCATCGTTTGGATTCATAGCCGCCGCCGCCGCCGCCGCCGCCGCCGCCGCCACCACCACCACCACCACCACCACCACCACCACCACCATCACTACCACCGCCACCGCCACCGCCACTACCGCCGCCACCGCCACTACTACTACTGCTGCTGCTACTTCTGCTGCTGCTACTTCTGCTGCTGCTGCTGCTGCTAATCGGAGCAACGTGAGAGAGCGAGAGAAAGAGAGAAGAATCGAGATGTGGAGCTCGTCCGAACAGATAGAGACGACGCTTTACGAGTGGTAGCGAGAGAGAGAGAGAGAGAGTGGTGAGGGGGGTGGTGGTGGGGG